AAAAAAAAAAGTTGAAGTTCTGAGTTTTTGAAGAATGAGGATTCCTTTCAGAATCTTCTCCACATGTCCCCCATTAGACAGTGCCTTCAGGATATCCAAATACCTTTCAGATTAAGACTTGGCTCTGTTATTCTCTGGGCCAGATTCATCTCCATAGGACAAGACAGACCAATTACTTAACAACCTCCTATCCTGATGACACTTCCACATTTACTATACAGTTTTAGATGTGTGATGCATACTCCACCCAAAACCTGTTGAGGTAACCATTTTTGTAGCAAACAAACTAGTTAGACCACAGAACACAAAAAAAAAAGAAAAAACAAAACAAAACCCAAAATAAAACCCAACAATACTATTCACGTATTTTGGCTCAAGAGGGCAGTAGATATTATATTTCTGTTTGTCTTTTGGTTGGGATCTCATTTACAATATCCACCACAGTTTCCTACCTATTGAAGTAGGATATGTGCATAAATGTATTCAAGTTACCTTACAAACAGTCCAAGAAAACGAATGGCATGAAGGGAGCACCTTACTCGGCTAGGCACATCAAACTGGGTCTAGTGGGTGCAAGGGAACATTTAAAGAAGCAGTACCCCTTTTAAATAAGTAATTGGAAAAAATTTAAATATATGATCCTAAAAGTCAAGAAGCCAAAACACAGTAAATTACAATAATTCATTTTCCCTTATATAAAAAGGGAGGGTTACTGTTTCTTTAATAAGGCACTAAATAGACATGTTACATAAAGGAAAGATACCTTTTAAAAACTTGTAGAAATTCATCAGCTTTGTACCTTTCATGACAAACTAGATTCATCTTTTTGTGTGTGTATTTTTTGTTGCTGCTGTTGTTTGAAGGTCAGCAAAATTTAGGTTCCATGACTCATAAAGCTATGAAGACTTCAAGAAACTGTGAAAAAGCAGGTTGAACTACTGTAAAAGGTACAAGACCACTGCTAGGCAAAACAAAAACAAAGCAAAAAAAATAACGATCAAACTTCAAGTTCATCTACTCACCATCATCTTTAAAATATATATAAATATTGTTCAAATGGTCAGAACTTCAAAACCTGTTCTCATGGTTGGTTTTTTTTTTCTTCAAGTAATAGAAAAGTTGCTTAAAAACAATAGTTATTGCCTTTATATCTTTCATTTATGTTACTCTACTAGTTAGCATCCTGCAGAAAATGAAGTTACACTTTGTGAAAATCTTCACTCATTGAGGTTCCCCCCCTCCCTCTCCCCATCTGACCCGTCCTCACATTTGGAGAAATCCTCTCCCAGCAAATGGAGAAGTGTTGCCAAGCTAGTAATATCTGCACAAGGTAGTGAGAACAATTTTTCCCTTTTGTTTTCTCTCTCTCAAACTTCTCACTCTCTCACTCTCTTTCACATACAAATTCACCCCAAGGGTAAAACAGCTACCAGATATCTACACAATATAAAAATGTAAACAATAGCGTAGTAAGACAAAATGCTCATGAAACAAAGATAAATTAAAAAAAAGACGTGACATCCCATGATTCTGACGGGGTGGGGTTGAACCTTGCCATGTGGGCACGAGGGATTGGTGCTGTTTTGAATGAAGAAATCTTCAGAAGAGGTAAAGGGTTTTGCTTCTAAAGCATTAAGCATATTTCTTTAGCCTTTACTTAATATATCACAGGAGCATACTCCTTTCCATCTATTGGACTTTATGCCTCTTTAGCTAGAAAAAGAAAAGAAATAAAATAAACAACCAGAGGCAGCCTAGAAGAACTGCAGGTAGTTGGGCAATAGGACTGCACTCTTCATCCCAATAAAAGTTGCGGTGGTTCATATAACATGAAGATGATTTGCACAAGCTGCAGATTGTTTGCCTCGTATTTTCAGTAACATTTAAAAACCCATCTTAAAGGCAGGTTTCTGGTATATCACCATTTACTCCCATTTGAAAACATCCTTGATGTCAACACCAGGCCCTGCAGCTCAATGTACAAAGAAACAAATGAAGAAAATCACTTTGTTTTCCTTCAGAGACAGAAGTTTATTCTCACCCGCTCCCAAAAAGAATTAGAGCTCATCAAAAAAATCAAGTAAATTGTGTTTGCTTCTGCTAAGTTGTTCTCTTTCTTTGATTCACAGAAGCACTGAGAATTTTTTTTTTTTTTACTATGATAATCCTAAGTGATAACATACAAACATACACACAAATTCCTCTTGTTTTGTAGGGAATGTATAAGACCATGACTGTCATTAAACTACCCATTAGCTGATTGAACTAGATGGGTAATGCTCAGTGAATATGGAAATCAAAGGTTTCAGAAGATGCAGTCTCTCTTACAAGGTTCCTCACAGGGCTGTTTACTTTAATTTTAGGAATTTCCACCCCTTTCCAGCTAGTTTGTTCTCCATGTTGACATATTAATCCCTTAACAGTTTTGTGGTAGACATGATAGAGGCTTTGACCAACACAAGCACTGACATATTTATATTAAAAAATAGTGCAAAATTTCAACATTTATATAAATAACTAAACCCCTGCTTTTGATTTTTTTTTGTTTTTTTTTCTTTTTTTTAGGGTTTTTTTCTTTTTTTTTTTACAATGTAATACACACTTTTTGAGTTGGCACTCAAAAAATTGCCATTTTTCTTCTAGTTCAGAAAACAACAAAACTTTTTTTTGTTTTGAATAGGTCTCTTCTAATACAAAAATACTCCTGCTCCTCACACATACAGTTTCTCTTATTTTAATATATATTTATATATATATATTGCAGATCTTTAAACAAAACGTTTTTGTGCAAATATTTTCCTCTTTAAAGTTAAGTGAAATAATCAAAAACAAAAACAAAACAAAAAAGCGCGCACACGCGCGCGCGCACACTCACACACAGCTCAACTAGAAACAAAAATGAAGGACTACAGTTGATTCTTTTTCCTTTTTTAAACTTCTAGACAGCTCAATAAAGAAATGTTTTTGCAAGCTTTCTTGGCTTGTGCATTCAGACCAGACATTACAAGGAAATATTTATACACAGAGAGATGGGGAAGGGCTTTTTATTCTTTGCTCATCTTCCCAACTCTCTCCCTTTCTCTCTCTCTCTTTTCTTTAAATGAGAAGTGCAGAGTGTTTTATTTTCTTTTGCGCTTGATTTTGTTTTAAAAGGGGTGCCCTTTTTGCTTCTCTTTATCTTTGTTCCACGCAGTTGTGCTCTCAAGGCCATTGATTTGTGAAGGCTGCAGTCTGCTACCCTCTAGTATCGAGGGCATCCCATTGTTGTTCTGCTGGTGCTGGTAAAACGTAGATCCAGGATAGTGACCTATCACCTCACTGTACGTCGGTGGCGGTCCTTCCATTCTACCATTGCTTCCATAGCAGGTTGCACTGATGCCAGAGTTACTGCTGGGAGGGCAGGGCCCTCCATATACTGAGTTATCTATCAAGTCACTGTCGAAGATGGTTCTGTTGGGGGGGGCTCGGACTGATTCTCTGTTGAGTTCCATTTGCTGCTCTGGATCTCGGAGTTGTAGCGTGCAGGGTCCCTGGTAAGGGGGAGGCTCCTCTCCATCCGACAGCGAGATGGTGGGCGGGAGGTCGATCTCATGCTGCATATAGGGGTATGTTGGCTGGAATCTGTTAAAACGGTCCCTCTGCAAAAAGGATGGAACTGCTAGTCTGTCGCTGGGTCTCGGAGTGTAGATTTGCTGCTGAAGAGAAAGGGAGAGACCACGAGTTTCAAAATGCTTGTGCGCGAGTCCTTACCCACAACCCAGTCAACACCAACACTGCCCTCACCTCTGTTATTCCATTTCCTGACACTGTGCTTTCTGAAGGCCACAGGCTTCCTTCCTACAGTGGAAAGAATAGGAGAAGGGTTGAGAATCATTCATGATCAGCCAGTCTAGAAACCACAACATTTGACAGAGACCTCGTCCGATTACATTTTTAGCCAGCAGCTGTAAATCTATGGTTGCTCCGCACAGTGCTGCTGCATTTACATGAGCACACAGTAAGTCCCTACGTCTTAAGATAGCCAACATTCATACCTGCTTCGTGATTTTCTACCATCTATCTCTGTATTAACAAAAATTCACTTACTGATTAGACAATCAAAATAATACCAATTTCACACACTTCCATTCATCATCCCCTGTGGCAGTTTTATTTTCACCACCCAATTCCAGCCGATGCATTAAAGTACAACGTGCCCAGACAGAAGCCCACATGCTCTGCGTGAAAAAGCCATGCAACTATAATATAAACCCATACATTTATTATCTCTGACAGAGTAACTGAGGGTTAGCCCATAATGCTTTCTGAATATGACACCAACACCTGAAGAGCAAGAAGTCATTTAGTGTTAGGCTGGTCCAGGTGTCACTTCCCTCTATTTATATGTACTAGGGCACAAAATATACTGTGGGAAAATGGAGCTGTGATATTCAGGTCTATAGCCAGCCTTACTGTCCTAATCAGCTGCTTGGTCTATACACAAAACAAGGTCAGCCAGTTATATCATTGCTCATATATGCACAGCACCTATAGCCGACTCATGCAAAGGGATGAAATGGAAACATTCTAATTAACTTGGACACTCTAACGAAGACACCCAAGATGCATTAAGATCTTGAAAAACAACAGGCGGTTAAACTCCAATTGTGTTCCCTTGCCCTGTCCTTTGCTTTACTTTTCCCAGTTTTAAGTGGGGGAAATGTAGTTTGTGGCGCTGCATGTGATAACAGATACCCAGAGAATGCAATCAGGTGCTTGTTTTTGAAGCTCAGTTTCTGCTCACAAACCTCAAGGCAGTTCTGTTACTAGTGGAACAAAAAAACTCAGTGATTTATATGGAAATGAGTTGGCCCAGATTCTTTTCACTTCTCTGCAGTTTTTTTGGGAACCTCTCCTTGAAATGCTAGAGGTTAAGTATTATGATAACGGAATACTGTAGAGTTGAGGTTAATGGAGCTGCGGGGTTAGTTTTCAACCGGCTCTTCCATTCAGTCGATATCTTTGGCAGTTGCGAGCAATACGAGGACTGTATTTTATGGGGAAGTTGTGTCCTTCACATGCAACTTTTTAAACGAGCAGTAATTGATTAATCAAATTCCACCTGGATTTTTCTGCTTACAAAAAACTGAAGCCTATAAAGAATATTCTTGATTAACCCTCCCCGCCCCCAAAATACAAAGTGGCCACCAACTGCAGCAAAAAAGTTTCCACTGCTAATCAGTGCTGCAGCAAATGTCCTCAGCCTAGGCAGGATGAGCCTACTCAGGACACAGAGCTTGCCCAGCTACCGCCTCTGCATCAAAGATCAAAATTTCTCCTCTACCCACACATGTAAGTCCAATGATCAAACAAAAGGATTGTTTCTTTTATGTATATACGGTAGCTTTGAGGTAGCTTGATTACAGTTAGTTACCTCAGTCAAAAGAAATCCAAATCAATGGGCAGGGGAGTGAGTGTTTACTCTGCAATGTCCTCATGGCAGACTTCCTGAGCAGCGAGTGCCTCGCTGCCTTATGCTAGATGTTTTATATTTAATTTAGCAGTGGGCAGTGCTGTTGCAACATCCCATCTGCTTTTTCATTTCCCCTGGAGTGATGTCAGCCTCCTTCCATGGGGGCAGCTGCAGCATAGCAGAAAGACCAACACTTTCCATAATGAAGAGGCAACACCTCTGAATCCCATTTTCAGTTGGCTACTTTAGAAGGCCATTTCTAAATGGGGACAATGAACACTGGCAAGTGAATTAAATTACTTTCAAAGCTTCTCCAAAGCCTTACCCCCCTGCACAGAAAGCACTTTGGGGCAGAAACCCCCTTGCTGTTTTGTTCCATGTATACACAGCACCTCATATCAATGGGTCCTGACTTAGGACTAGGGCTTCCACATGCTACTGCAATAGAAATAATAATAATAATAATAATAATAATAATAATAATAAGCAGACAGAGCCCAAGATTAAATAGAAGATCAGAAACTTTGTTAAAATAGAACTGGCAAGAATCTGAGGATGGTCAGAAGATTTATCAACTTTTGTTCCTGACTCTGAAGTAGTTTGATCTGGGATTTTGGTTCTTATCTATTCCACATAGGCTTTTACACCTGGATCTGGCAAGCCTAGCTATACACTTGGCTTGTCCCATTGGAATTCAGCACATGTGCGAGTGCCTGCAGGCCTGGGGCCATGTGCAGCAGTCATTGCCATGATGCCTGAGCAGTGGCTTGCACTTCTCCTCTAAATCCAAGGAGAGTAGCAAGTTTGTAGGACAAAACATTAGCCGTGATTTCCCTGTTTTAAGCACCTGCACCCTGGCTAAGAGACTGCAGCACTGCTGACCTTCAACATCATTAGACAAAAATCCCCAGGAGATCAGGGATTTTTCAGACAAGACATCTGAAGCTTTTTATTTTAATTCACCTTTGATTTCTGGGTACTAGGGTTCATGTTTTTTCAAGCTTATCTGCATAGCCACTGGGTCTACAGACCTGCTGTTTACACCAGAAGCTGAGTTTTCACTTAAAATAAAAGTATTCGTATAACTGGATTTCAGGGGGAAAAAACAAATCAAATCAAGCAGGTATAAAAAGAATTCCAGAAGCTGGCAACACTGACAATAACTCGCCAAAAAATATATTAAAAAAATCTATTCAATAGAATGTAATACAGTTGCTTATCAGGACAGTCTTCATGCATCTTATGTGCAGAAATAAATAGCAAAAATAGCAAGATCTCAGTCCCTAAGACTGGTCTCTGGCTCTTTGGTTTTGGGCATCAGGAGGGAGTAGGGTTTCCATTTCTGATTAAGTTTTTATCTATCCCTGCTGGTGGGGGCGGTGGGGAGGGAGTCAACACTTCCTCCTCCAGAGATGGTCAGATTTTGAATAAGTGAAAGGATCTTTACAGGAAAAGGAGTTTTAGCAGCAAGGGAGAAAAGGGAATAAAAAACCCCATCATGTTAGTATTGCTCACATTAAAATCTTCTCTGGGAAAACAGTAAGGCTTTTTCTTTTTTACTTACAATTTTTAAGCCATAAGAGCAGGAGGGAAATAAAAAGGGGGACTACTAGAGCTCTAGGACTCTGCTAGGGAAAAGGCACTTTCCAGTTTCCGGGAACCGAGAGTATATGCACATCTCTGCTCACAACACCACAGCAATATTTGCTTTTATTTATTTATTTTAAGGCTCAGTAAAAGTTCAGTGGATTGCGCAAACCAATATCTAGTTCAACACTGAGAATGCATGGAGATGGCAGGGAGTCATTTCTATTGGAATATTGTTTTCTATAAAAATAAATCACACTGTGCTGAATTTAAAATGAGCCACCTTTAAGAGCTTTGAGATGACTGATCCTCATGTAATGAGCTTCCTGTTCAGCACGCTAGGGGGCTTTTCTGTCCTTCTAGGAGAGCACCCAGCAGGCCACTAACTAAAGTGTGTCTGAGACTTAATTACACTCTATTTAAGAAAATGGGGAAAAAGAAAATAAAAAGGAAAAAAAAAACAACCACCCTTTCCTCTGGGGTAAAAAGAAAGGGAAAAAAGGGAGGCTGAAAACTGAAGACATAATCCATAATTAAAAATAAAAAGATACAGGAGTGTTTGATCTATGGAGCTAATTTGGGTTACAAAGCTATTCCTTCTATGGTAAAGTCAAACAGGCTTTGAAAGTATTTATACACAATCCACACAGTATTGAACTGGTGTACTGTAAAATCTGCCAGGAGATGTTCTTGATTTTACACTGCCTAACCACAGGAAATCCATTTCTACTGAGCCGCCAAGAATGCAGGTAACTGGAGACTAGTATTCTGGTTTGCAGGATGCTCTCAATGAGGGGTACAGGCATACCACAAGAAGAAAGCAGAGCCTTGCAGACTTCTGCGTCTGAGCCTCTACATGCAAAGTGGTACAGCAGCCTCAGATTGGAGACAGACCAGGACTCAGTGCCTCTCCAGGGGTTTAGCTTAAAACAGAGTGCACCGCAGGTAAACCTTTCATGAAAGCCTATCTTAACTTCTGACATGAAAACATCTGAAGTAGAAGTCATGACAGCTGGGCAAAGGGGATTTTTTTTTAAGCTTCAGGGCCAAGTTGAAAAGTCAGGGGGGTGGCAGGGGGGAGAATGGTTCAGGGTCAAACTGGGCTAAACCAGAAAGCTTAAGGTCACCCCAAAACACATCATTGGATCCAATCAGATTGCCCTCACCATTTACATCTTTTTTAGACTTCAAAGGGGATCTGCATACAAGTTAGAAGTTCAAGCCTGATCCCAATATTTTTGTGAAATATTTTAACGTCAAATGATTATCACGCCAGTCCAAAGTAGTTTGATCCTGTTGCCTGTTTAAACAAGTGACTGTTCATGGTGCTCACTCTTAGTCCCTCAGAGATGCAGTCTGCATCAGACTAAACAAAGGGGTGTTTAACTGAACTGAGTATTTTTACAATTCTTCCTCCTGAGAGGCTGTCTCATTTTGGCATGAAAGTCAAGGGACCTCAACTGCCCCTATGTGTTTTGTGCCAAAATGAAAGACCATCCATGGGATGAGGGGGACAGTCTGTGCAATTCTGCACATGAACAGAAGAGTGGACTGTCATCTGAATACCATGCTCCTGCCCACATGGGCATGAGAGGTATTGCAGCTCTGACTTTAAAACTCACTGCTTTGTCCATTAGGTTGCCTACGTCTAAAGGGATCACTTTATTTGAGGCATGGAAATGGTGCTCCATGTTTGACAAAATGAGCGAATTTGTATTCAAGTAGAAGCCCATGAATTGGAAAAGAGCAACTTCCGGTTCACATCAGTGAATGGAGGGGCATTCATTTTTTATTTCATTCCTAGGCAAATTCCTGTGCAGTTGCAAATGTGTGCAGTATTCCTCCTTTTCACTTCCTGTCCCAAACTGTCCGGCTCTACATTGCGGCTGATGCGAGGCAGCCTGGCTATGAAAGAGCCTTGGGATCCTTCAGCAGGAAAGATAATTGGCAAAGACAAGATATTCCTGGCCTGAAAGGTGATTCCAATAAACAGAAACATGAAGATTGGATTTGTTGGCTACAGGTTCTTAAACTGTGCTCTTCCCCACAGGATCAGAGCATTAAGCAACATCTGTTACTTTGCTGGAGTGGCTTTTGATTGAATTGGTGTCAGCAACACAATTAATAGAAGAGCATTTCTTTCCCTGGGCTTTAAACTTCCTGCTTCATTAAAAATGTCTTCATGAGCATCACAGGCATTATTTCAGGGAGAACTTTTCTTGCAAGACAGACCTATTCTATATTACGGGAATGGCACAAAACCATTGCACCTTCCACTGTTGAGACATTTTGCCACCACTAGAGAATGCTAGAAGATACCTAGGGAGATATGCACCTTCCCTTCTAAACTGTAGCGCAGTGTGGGGCTTGCTAGGAATATGGTACCCAGAGAGGTGCTGTAATTTGGAATTATGAAAGTTAACATATTTAAACTCCCAGATGACTGCTTGCATCTAGTGATTTCAGAAAACGAGGGACATAAGAATATTCTTCCCAGCATCCCTTTTAGCAGTGTTTGTATCAGGACACCAGTACAATGCAGGCACCTGTAGCTGCATTTGTGATGGACAGAGAGCACAAAATGGTTGCAGCATTTCTCTTAACGCACAGCATGCCAACTGGAAGTTTCTACACAGACCCCAACCATCTCATGCATGAAGGTTTAACTATCCTGAAGGTGCCTGCTCATAATGCTTGGGGGGGGGAGACATATAGACTCTACTAGTTAGGCAAATTCAGGTAGGAATTTGGATTCCTAAGGATTCAGGCAACAATTCACAAGCATCTCATCAGGTGGCAAACACTGGGCCCAGAGAGGGAGACAGACAGATGTGGAGGAATTATTGGAGATACTTACTGATGACAGGTTCTCATCTCTTCTTCTCCCTTGGCTGTGCCGGCTGATGAAGGATCGTGCAGAGAGTTTGTAGTGGTTCAGCAGACACGTGATCACCACCACCATCACCATCATCACCACCACGATAATGATTATCTGTACAAACTCCAACTCCGCTGTAAGAGAGGTAGAGAGACATTTTCAACCATCTTGCAAAGCAGAGGAATATAGTACAAGAAACACGGGAGTGAGTTTGACTGTGAAGCCCGTGGAATTGCACAGCTACATCCACAGATGTTTAAGGCTCTCAGACGCACAAGGTTTCCACATGCTTTCAGTTAGGCAACATAGAACAATGGAAATGACCTGTGCCAAGGAATAAGAGGCCTGAGACATGATCTACAAAGATTCTAAGCTATGCTCAAATGTTTAAAATTGATTAACTTGAGCTTCAAGGGTAGGACCCCAACACAAAAAAGTTGCCCAAAAAAATCTCTCTAAAAGCTTCAGGTCTGGCTTACCTGTACCAGAAATGTGTTTCCTGCCTCCACAAACCACTCTGCAAATGAAAGATTTCTGTACTGAATGCCGCTTTGGCCCACTTTGTGGAACCATGCAGAAAGTATTTCTGGTCTTAATTAGAATTTAAAACAAACAAACACCACCGAGTTCAATCTTGCAGTTCACTTAACTTTTACTGAACCTCTGTACACCAGAGGGTTTGGGATTAAATTAAGCCTTGACACCCCTGTGAATCAGAAGAGAGTTATCCCCATTTCATGGAGATGCTAACAGAGGCACAGGAAGCAAAAGGAGCCACCCACTCAAGACAGTGCAGAGAGTCTGCAGTTCTGTGGTCTGTTCCCGACTCCCAGTCCCAGCTACCAGCCAAATTCCCTCTCTAAGACCATGAACTCTGCCACAACGCACAGCTGTTCAATGAGAAGACAGACGTCCTCAGTCTATGCTGATTGCAACTCCTCCCACGTCTGAAGACAGAAGTAATTCAATGTAGTGCTCAGTTTACCAAGCTGACAGTGGCAGCTTGAATGGACTGAACTGGCACAAAGGACTGTTACAGGAAAAAACCCAAGAAAGCCCTCCAAACAAGCAGGACAGTGGCTGGCAGGGGCCGACTCCTAGATGCTAAGACAGCAGCTCCCCATACTTCATTTTGAAAGTGTGCAATTAGATGGAGAAAACTGGATATGAAAAACAGCACATAATAACTTGATAGATGTGCCTATACGTTCCTAGCTCAGACAATGAATTTGGCATCCAGGCAGAGCTACTTTGGGGATCCAGTCTCTGCTTCCCAACAGCTGGCCAAGAAATTACTTCCACTGCCCGTGGAACGCAGATGCTCACCTATGCTATAGGGCATGGCGTGTTCGTGTCTGTGCCACCTTGGCAGTGGGAACCTCAGGGATAATTTGGAATATCTGTAAAGGCACGAGCCATTGCAGGGGAAAGAAAAGAGGACTGACAAAGCCAATAATACTCATGATTTTCTCTGAGACAAAAGCTACTGAAAAGAGCAGACTTGAAAAAGCTGTGTTCTTAGCGATTCCAGGTGCTGCAATTTGCATTAAAATGTAAGCACCTAAAAAAGGCAGAATGGCAGTAGCATTCACATTGGATAGGGTGGGTTCTGCTGAATCAGGCAGATTTTTTTTTTTTTTTGAGAGTTTCACAACTGCCAGCTGCCAGGAGGAAAGTGCCAGCAAAAGCATATAAAACATCAAGGAAAAACAGTCCAGGTGCAATCCTTGCTGGTTACCTTGGAGTAAATTCTGCTAGGCAGCAGCTGCAGCTATCTCTGCCTCTGGACCAGTCTTCATACTACCTTTCCCGTAGCACCTTCCAACCCAAAGAAGCCCCAAACACTAGTCCCAATTATGCCCACAACCTCAAAAGTCTCAGGACCATCTTTAAAACACTGCAACTATGATACATGCAAGTCTGTTCAGGGCTGGACTCCATATATGCCGACAGTGCCACTGAAAACGCAGTCACTTCTGGAGTGGAGGGAGGCAAGTGAGTGTGCGCATGTGGTGGGAGTGCATGGAAATCAGCCCATAAAAGCATGCACAGTGATAGAGAGCAAGTTTAGCTCAGGTCAAAGGTAAGGTCACCAGGTTCCTAAAAGGGAAGCACAGGATCTTCACTGTAAAGCAGACACGGCGTCCAGACACCACAGTGATGGGCACAGCATGCAGATATGTCTTTTGCCTCTTTAAGCTGCAGGATGATGAGCCAAGGGCCCCTGCTGGAATTAATAGGGTGGAGCTAGCAGTACAAGGAGACATTAAACCAGCAAGTCCCACTGAAGGACAAAACCAGTGCATCTCCCCCTCTGAAGGATTTAAAGAGTGGGGGCGAAAGTCTTACAAATCCCCCTTCATTTTTGTCCTCTTTTAAAAAGCAACTTCGGGGAGGAGGATTAAAGTATGGACTCTCTAGAAAAAAAAAGCGTGCGTCTTACATTTGCAGTGCTCCCCTCCCATCCCTCCCCCACCTTCATTTCAAACGTCTGCGAATTCAGGAATCCAGAGCGTGAGCCTCTTATTTTTAATGGGAGGAAAGAGGCTGGAGAGGCGATGGGTGGAGAGATTTACCCAGCAACAGCCCAAGAGCGTTCTCTCCCCCCCCCCCGAGCCTTTCAAAGTCTCAATAATCTAAATGTAATACTCTCAATTGAATGGGGAACATACAGTACGCATATTGTTCCTGACACCCACATTCAGAGCCGCAGCCTATCATCGGGGATTGTTTGGGGGCCTGCAATAAACAGAGGTCTTTAAATCCACTCCAAAGAAAAGGCAGCTCTGCACTTTCTACCTCAATGAGATACATGTCAAAAAGCCACACAATGCCATGAAGGGAAGCAGTCACACAGGCCCTCGGTCTCATTTAAATATTTGCTATTAAAATTCAAGGGCCCTTTGTAGCAAGTCTCCCTGCATGACCAAAAGGATGAGAGCCTTTAAACCATTACGCAGGGCCCTTTTGTTTCCTCCCAACCATGAGAGGTTAAAGGTAACAGGAACCCTGACAAGGAGACAATCCCCTTGTCCTTGTGTTAACTGCGAGCGCCCTGGGCATGCTTCGGTGCTTCCTAGACAGCTCTAAGCATTTTGGCAGACAGGCAGGCAGCCTCGAGGGTGGAGTTACGGCAGACGGCATTTGACAGTCCTCTCACGCACCGCACCTCGCAGGGCCTCAGCCTTGCCTGACAAGGGGGAAGAGTGGGGAGGAGGGGGGTTTATACAGACGCACGGGCATTTTTTTTTTTTATTTTTTTCTTTTGGTTTTGTTTTACTAGGCACATTTCTAAGCGTCTGCCTGCAGGGGACGGATGGGTTTCCCCACAGTCACCCTCTATGCATTCAGGCTGCAGGAGACCTGCATTTGGGCTAGCCCGCGCTACAAGGAAGTACAGATTTGCAGACCGGCGGGCTGTATGGGGTGAGCGATTCGGTTTCCTAACAGGGCTGTTGTGATCTTCCAGCCACTGAGAAACTTGATGCCCCTTTAAAAAGAAGATTCCCCCGAGATACTCGTTCAGAAGAGGAGTCTTGTTGCAAACAGCCGCTCTTCAGAGAGATGGACCTCACAGTGGGAGCTCCAGTTCACTTTGCATATGGTGGTTGGCCTAGATGAGGCAGTAGCATATTATAACAGCCCCTTTCACTGACTTCACAGAATCCCATTCCCATTAGGCAAAGTCAGAAACTCAGTAAAATGTATTTACCTGCAGACAGCATCACCTACGCAGTACACAGACGCACCCCCCACGCAGTGCCCTGTACAGCGACTCCAAGCACGTGAAGTCTGGAGAGGAACCTGGTTTTGTTACTCAGGTGGAAAAGTGGTTTGCAAATAAGTCTCAAGCTAATTGGATAGGGTGGAGATGCTGCATTCAGAACATGCCTGTGCAGTGTCAAAGACTATGTGCATTGGGGTTCACAGGAGTTTGCTGTGAGCTAATTTAGAAGTCTGCTAAAGTCAAACAATTATCATCGTGATAGAGGCACACCCACTGCAGCCCTGGTCGCCACTCCGACAGGAAAGCTTCAGGCTTTCATGGCATTGCCCCAGCGATGGTCACGTTTCTTCTATAACCACTGCTTGGCACAGTCTCACTAGGGCACTGCTGCAGTACATTCCCTTTCTGCACGCCCTGCCCCTGTCAAGGTGCCCAAGTTACTCAGCAGCTGCATTCACAGCTCTCTGAAACACGGTACAGATTATTTCAGCTTCAGAATGATGAACCCCCTTACCCCACGCACCCACTGGTAGCAGAGACCGCAAGCTGGATGAACAGCCATCCCACGTACTGGAACATGCCATTTGCTGCAGCAGTTACAAAAACCTGGGATTTAAGAAGGTGAGTCAATTTTGCCCCTGAAAGTGTAACATATGCTCTTGGCCACTGTAGGAAGATTCAGAGAGAAATGCTAAAAGAGAAGCAAGGCTAGCTGGTTACAAAGGAAAGTTCTCACCCATCAGTGACAGACAATTAGCTAAAACTTGCTAAACTGTTTCAGGAATTTTGTTGGTGCAAACTGCTGTATGGGAGTGGTTTTCATATATCTTTACCTGCAAAGACAGGTGTCTTAGTAAACTAGGAGTGTTTTTACACCTGCTCCAAGGGTGGGGGTGCATGGGGGCTTTAATTAGACCAGCTCCAACAGTTTTTAGTTCAAATGCTCCTGCTACCATTTTGAAGCACTGGGATGCTGGTACACAAGACACGGAGACTGGCTGCGCTCCAGCAGACTCGATTAATCCACTTTAATTACAGCACGCTGGAGCAGCCTCCCTGAATGTCTATGGGCACCCAATGAGACCAACCTTAAGAGGAAAAGAAAAAGATATTTTAAATCATTTTGCAGGACATTAAAAAAACTAGCTTTTACACACACACGCATGTGCACACATGCAAGAAACAAAAGGACTGGGTTCCCTCACTGAGAAGAGTGTGAATGATACAAGGATCAGGGTCATATCAACAGCCTTGGAATTGGTTCCTCGTCCAGCAGCAGACATTATCTAGACTGGCACAGAGGCTGGCTTAATAGCTGCAAAAAAGCTATTAATGTGACAATATTAATGTGATTACTAGAACAAAAGAAACACTAATTTCAGATGAGGTTTTTCCTTCTCCTCCCCC